GATCTCCCGCACTACATCACTGAATGCCCAGTTATTAGACCTTTCAGACCAGTTGGCATGAGGTACCTGGAGCTTTGCAATTACTTTATTCACTCTCGTATTCTTGAAGATATCCTCACAGTGTACCCAAAATTTGCCAGTGCAGGCTACTAAACATATGGCCCTGTATGACTAACCATCCTGCGAGATGGGGACTTGTATTACCACTGCTACCTTATTCAATCTTGTGTTGATGATATCCTCAAAATGCATCCGGAGTCTGTCAGTGCAAACTGCCTATCACATGCCTCTGTATGACTAACCATCCTGTGTGATGGGGATTTTTTAGCATCACCTAGTTAGCTTTTTTGACACTGTACTCCACTTCATATAGTCTAAGGTAGCTGCACTAATGCAGATGTACCTAATGTATTAATAAAAAAAAATGGGGGAGATCGACAGCAAGAACCTCATACTATCAGTTATAAATGACCTAATCGCTGCACAGAGTAAAGGGTTACGAATCTCCTTTGTATGGATACCATCACACATAAATATAACCCATCATAATGACACAGACATTGCAGCCAAATTAGCGTGTAACAAAGATAAAGTTGAATTAGACCTAGGTATCTCCATCTCTGCTGTCAAAACTATATTGTTCCAAACACTCAGGTCTGACAGGAGAGGAATTACTGACTCCCAACGACTTAAAGCATCAGTATAAAAAGCTATGATTTGTTCAGATCCGAAACTTATATCTATGGGCAGCACAAACGTCCACTAGACTGTGCGACACAGTGGTTGCCAGGATCAGGTTGGGTTACCGTTACCTGTGGCAGGTGGTTACAGGTGACGGATCTCCCAATCCTGAGCACTCCAGGTGCAAACTCTGTGAGCAGGAACTGCGGCATGATTTCCCACACTACATCACCGAATGCCCAGTTATCAGACCATTCAGACCCGTTGGCATGAGGTACCGGGAGCAAGAATTACTTTATTCACTCTCGTGTTCTTAAGGATATCCTCATATTGCACCCAGAGTCTGCCAGTGCAGGCTACTGATCACATGCCTCTGCATGACTAACCATCCTGTGTGATGGGGATTTTTTAACACCACGTAGCTAGCTTTTTGACACACTGTACTCCCCTTCACATAGTCTAGGGCAGCTGCACAAATGCAGATGTACCTAATATGTTAATAAAAATAATTGGGGGAAAATGGAAAAATGGGAAAGAGACGAGAAGATACAATAAAAGTACAGCTGCTGAGACTTGAAACTTTCAGGGACTCTTGAGAGAGGCTGAAGTGAGGTGGAAGGCGGAGGGGAAGGGAAGACTGAGAGAGAGAGAGAGAGAGAGAGAGAGAGAGAGAGAGAGAGAGAGAGAGAGAGAGAGAGAGAGAGAGAGAGAGAGAGAGAGAGAGAGAGAGAGAGAGAGAGACATAGAGGTATGGATTGAGATAGTTAGGTAGATATAGAGATATATTGAGATAGAGATGTGTAGAGATAAAAAAGGGATTGATAGAGATAGTGGGGTATTTTCCCTGGTATGTGTTGTGACACACATACCAGGGAAAATGCCGGGTATCATTCCAAGTATATAGAAGGAAACATGGTAAGTTCAAAACGTAGCAATGAGGCTTGTCTCAAAATTGCGTATTTGAAAAGTGATGAAGGAACTTAAATTAACCTAACATTTAAAATAAAGGAGAAAACGGAGAGACATGAAAGAGATGTAAAAAGTACTTAGAGGGAATTGACACTGGAAAAAGAAAAAATGTTCACAATGAATCCCAATAGAACAAGATGGCATGGGTGGAAGCTCGAGGCTAAAACAACTCTTTTTAGCGTTACAGTTGTAGGAAAATGGAATGAACCAAAGATGCAGGTTGTACAAGCAAACTCCATTTATAACGCTAAAAGAAGATATGATATGAAAATCAGTCAGTAAACGCCGTATTAGTCAACCGCCGGCTAGAAAGGATCATACCCAGGAACTAAAGCTCACACACGCACACATATATAAACCCCAGTAGGCTCAGGAATCTGGGGCCAGATTCACGAAGCACTTACGCAAGCACTTACGAACGTGTACATCTTTCCTCAATCTTTGACGGCTTTGGTTACATTTATTAAACAGTTTACAAGCGTGAAAACTTGCCAATCAACTGTTGTTATTGTTATAAACAGCCTCCTGGTGCTTCGGAGCTCATTAACTGTTTAATAACTGTAAACAAAGTCGCCAAAGATTGAGAAAAGATGTACAGGTTCGTAATTGTTTTCGTGAATCTGGCCCCCTGTACACCAGTTGATTGACGGTTGAGAGGTGGGACCAAAGAGCCAAAGCTCAACCCCCGCAAGGACAAATTGATGAGTACACAGCAGACTTACCTAAGCGAGCATAACACGTGTGGACTCGGTCAACGCATTCATCAACTAATCATCAACTCCCCCTTAACCTGACGTCACCAGCACCACCTGCGCTGACGGACACAGCTGCTCTACCAAGCTAACCCCATGAACACCTCAATACAAGTGTCCGAACACCTGTAATCCTCCTTAGTAAGTCAACCCAACACATGGGTCCGAACCTCGCTACGTAGGTTCGAATCCTACGTCGATCTCGGACGTAGGTTCGAATCCTCGTCACGGCCCTTGTGGATTTGCCCGCTACGTTACCTTGTCTTGAAAGCGATTACAACTTTAATAATGAAGTTGCTCACTCGTATTTTTCGCGGAATCCGCTTGTTTAATCCATCTAATTATTGATAACAAATTCAGGCGGGTGTAAATAGGCGGATGTGATCGTGCGTCGGTTCCAATGACGCTGTTGGTCTCCTGTCCGGCCCTCGTTAACGTCCCTTGACGCTTGTCTGATAAGGCTCAGTGACGTTTAATATTAATTTGCACTAATACTCGCACATTTGATACGTCACTTGGACACGTGGATATGTCATAAGGACACGTGGATACGCCATAAGAACACGTGGATACGTCATAAGGACACGTGGATACGTCACAAGGACACGTGGATACGTCACAAGGAGGACACGTGGATACGTCACAAGGAAGACACGTGGATACGTCACAAGGAGGACACGTGTGGTCGACGCTACTCTCTCTCTTAGGTAATCGTCATCTGGAGAAGTCAGGAAGTATCTGCTTGAATGTTAATGAATGTGTGTGTGTGTGTGTGTGTGTGTGCACCCATGTGCATGCATGCATGTACTTACGTACATATGTGTGTAACAGTTCACTAAGTACAAGAATTACAGAGTTCCTTAAATGTGAAAAATGTGGCTACATAAAACACACACACACACACACACAATTACGGTTGAGAGGAGGGACCAAAGAGCCAGAGCTCAACCCCCGCAAGCACAACTAGATGAGTATACACACACCACAGACAATTACCTCAAGGTGCCTTCCTCAGCTCTGCAGTAACCCTCGCCACCTCACCACCACAGAACACCACCACCCACAGAACACCACCACCCACCACACCACCACAGTAACGCTCAAGAGGAAGCACTAGAGGAGCACTAGAGCGCGCGCGTGTTATCCCCAAGGCGACCAGAGAGCAACTGACCAGCCAGCTCTAATCTTATCTCTCCTGGCATTCAGCCCCTCCGAAACGATTGGGCTAGGGAACTACCTATCAGTAGTAGTACCATCACCTGCGTGTTATTGGGTGTAACATCGCACCACTGGCAAGGCACAATCAGCTCCGTCAGGTTTTCCTGATCCGTTCGTAACCCGTCAACACTGTGTTTGACAACAACGTTGTCAAACACAACGTTGTTGGTAACGAATCGAATTCGTACACGAGAAATATGACTTTATTTTTTTATTGTGGCTTTATTATTAGTGGCTGTATTGTGGCTTTATTATTAGTTGTTGTATTATGGCTTTATTATTAGTGGTTGTATTGTGGCTTTATTATTTGTGGTTGTATTGTGGCTTTATTATTAGTGGTTGTATTGTGGCTTTATTATTAGTGGCTGTATTATGGCTTTATTATTTGTGGTTGTATTGTGGCTTTATTATTAGTGGCTGTATTGTGGCTTTATTATTAGTGGTTGTATTATGGCTTTATTATTAGTGGTTGTATTATGGCTTTATTATTAGTTGTTGTATTATGGCTTTATTATTAGTGGTTGTATTATGGCTTTATTATTAGTGGTTGTATTATGGCTTTATTATCAGTGGCTGTATTATGGCTTTATTATTAGTGGTTGTATTATGGCTTTATTATGTGATTGTATTATGGCTTTATTATTAGTGGTTGTATTATGGCTTTATTATGGCTTTATTATTAGTGGCTGTATTATGGCTTTATTATTAGTGGCTGTATTATGGCTTTATTATTAGTGGTTGTATTATGGCTTTATTATTAGTGGCTGTATTATGGCTTTATTATTAGTGGTTGTATTATGGCTTTATTATTAGTGGCTGTATTATGGCTTTATTATTAGTGGTTGTATTGTGGCTTTATTATTAGTGGCTGTATTATGGCTTTATTATTTGTGGTTGTATTGTGGCTTTATTATTAGTGGCTGTATTATGGCTTTATTATTAGTGGTTGTATTATGGCTTTATTATTAGTGGTTGTATTATGGCTTTATTATTAGTGGTTGTATTATGGCTTTATTATTAGTGGTTGTATTGTGGCTTTATTATTTGTGGTTGTATTGTGGCTTTATTATTAGTGGCTGTATTATGGCTTTATTATTAGTGGTTGTATTATGGCTTTATTATTAGTGGCTGTATTATGGCTTTATTATTAGTGGCTGTATTGTGGCTTTATTATTAGTGGCTGTATTGTGGCTTTATTATTAGTGGCTGAATTGTGGCTTTATTATTAGTGGCTGTATTATGGCTTTATTATTAGTGGCTGTATTGTGGCTTTATTATTAGTGGCTGTATTATGGCTTTATTATTAGTGGTTGTATTATGGCTTTATTATGTGATTGTATTATGGCTTTATTATTAGTGGTTGTATTATGGCTTTATTATGTGATTGTATTATGGCTTTATTATTAGTGGTTGTATTATGGCTTTATTATTAGTGGCTGTATTATGGCTTTATTATTAGTGGTTGTATTATGGCTTTATTATTAGTGGTTGTATTATGGCTTTATTATTAGTGGCTGTATTATGGCTTTATTATTAGTGGCTGTATTATGGCTTTATTATTAGTGGCTGTATTATGGCTTTATTATTAATGGCTGTATTATGGCTTTATTATTAGAGGTTGTATTATGGCTTTATTATTAGCGGTTGTATTATGACTTTATTATTAGTGGTTGTATTATGGCTTTATTATTATTGGTTGTATTATGGCTTTATTATGTGATTGTATTATGGCTTTATTATTAGTGGTTGCATTATGGCTTTATTATTAGTGGCTGTATTATGGCTTTATTATTAGTGGTTGTATTATGGCTTTATTTGTAGTGGTTGTATTGTGGCTTTATTATTAGTGGCTGTATTGTGGCTTTATTATTAGTTGTTGTATTATGGCTTTATTATTAGTGGCTGTATTATGACTTTATTATTAGTGGTTGTATTATGGCTTTATTATTAGTGGCTGTATTATGGCTTTATTATTAGTGGCTGTATTATGGCTTTATTATTAGTGGCTGTATTGTGGCTTTATTATTAGTGGTTGTATTATGGCTTTATTATTAGTGGCTGTATTATGGCTTTATTATTAGTGGCTGTATTATGGCTTTATTATTAGTGGTTGTATTATGACTTTATTATTAGTGGTTGTATTATGGCTTTATTATTAGTGGCTGTATTATGGCTTTATTATTAGTGGTTGCATTATGGCTTTATTATTAGTGGTTGTATTATGGCTTTATTATTAGCGGTTGTATTATGGCTTTATTATTAGTGGCTGTATTGTGGCTTTATTATTAGTGGCTGTATTATGGCTTTATTATTAGTGGCTGTATTATGGCTTTATTATTAGTGGTTGTATTATGACTTTATTATTAGTGGTTGTATTATGGCTTTATTATTAGTGGCTGTATTATGGCTTTATTATTAGTGGTTGCATTATGGCTTTATTATTAGTGGTTGTATTATGGCTTTATTATTAGCGGTTGTATTATGGCTTTATTATTAGTGGCTGTATTATGGCTTTATTATTAGTAGTAGCTGAATTATGGACTTAATTATTTGTGGTTGTATTACAATTTTATTATGAGTTACTGTATTATAATTGTATTGTTAGTGGACTTATTATTGCGGCAGCTGTCGCTAAAGGTTTTAGATTTATAATACACTCGAGGTGTATCCTAATTTTGAGTTTGATTTATCATTTTGATATTTGCTTTTGCTGATTTTTTTCTGTAGCTATATTTCTGAGTGATATCTCGCATTAATAGCTAAGAAAGATATATTACGAATTATACCTGAGAATTGATATCCTAAGAATGATATCTTTAGAATGATGCATTAAAAATGTTATTTGGAGAAAGATATTCTTGAGAATAATGCCTTAAGAATGATGCCTTAAGAATGATATCTTAAGAATGATATCTTAAAATCCATCTTAACATCGACTTAAAATTCCAAAAATAAGATAAGAATGGTCTCACTAAATCATTTCCATATTCTGTACTGTTATCTTGAGATGATTTCGGGGTTTAGCGTCCCAGCGGCCCGGTCCTCGACCAGGCCTCCTTTTTGTTACACATCTCCCAGGAAGGATGTATGAGGAAGCAGCCCGTAGCAGCTGTCTAACTCCCAGGTACCTATTTACTGCTAGCAATGACAATAAAAAACACACCATTAAATATAAAAAACTAATTCATTATTACTTTAGCACTCACCCTTATTACATACACTTTACTTTGCTAATTATTTTCTTCAATACATAAAAGACTTTTTAAATTAGTTCGAGAGAACGCACTGTTTTTTTTACTGATTTCTTAGCATGACATTAAACGTCATTCTAAGAACATAACTGGTTTTGATAAATTGACATTAATTGCAGTTCAGTAACAACAACAATGCTAAAAAGGGTTATTATGACACTGATAAGTTAAAGATAAAAAAAATATGAATAGCATTGATCAAATTGGTTATTTTACCTGAGTATATCATCAGTGCATCTCAATGCTCTACGTTGCTCCCTTACAGTCAAGATACGCGGGGCCTCAATTCCTGTCTTTATCTCACAGGAATTGTGAATGGTCTTTATCATTGTCTTTATCTCACAGTATATATCTTATCTCACAGTTATCACACAAGGCTTTCACAACAAGCCAAGTTGCCTGCCACAGTCCGCATTTCGTCCAATTCTGCAATTTACCCATTAACATTTTCAAGGAAAAGTGACCAATTAGGTTCTTCGTCGGCTATCAGGGAAAAGGACCAAGGGTCAGATTCACGAAGCAGTTACGCAAGCACTTACGAACCTGTACATTTTTTCTCAATCTTTGGCGGCTTTGTTTACAATTATTAAACAGTTAATGAGCTCCGAAGCACCAAGAGCCTGTTTATAACAATAACAACAGTTGATTGGCAAGTTGTCATGCTTGTAAACTGTTTAATAAATGTAACCAAAGCCGTCAAAGATTAAGGAAAGATGTACACGTTCGTAAGTACTTGCGTAACTGCTTCGTGAATCTGGCCCCAAGCCATTACGGCTATATAGCACGTGGAAGGGGGTCAGGATAAGCATTTGGAATGGGACGCTGCCCCTAATATTCAAGGCACGCTGCCCCTGATATTCAAGGCACGCTGCCCCTGATATTCAAGGCACGCTGCCCCTGATATTCAAGGCACACTGCCCCTGATATTCAAGGCACACTGCCCCTAATATTCAAGGCACGCTGCCCCTGATATTCAAGGCACACTTCCCCTGATATTCCCAATATAAATAAAAAAAATAAAACGCATGCAACAACTTTAAATTTTTATTTTGTATAACAACAATAAATATATTCATGATACAACATGATATACTCCATTATGCTACATCAACATAACACAACAGGGCTACTAGGCTGTAGAGGATATAACAGATATACCATAATAACATATCCCGTGGGTTGGGGGACCTTGAGGTGAGGAAGGTGCTAACCCACACATAAGGGGGAGTTTTTATTATATTATTTCTCTTACCAAAGACATATTAAAGTCTTCAGTCACCCGAAATATTAAGTTTTCACGTGTAGCTAAGGGGGTATACATATACACCAATACTTGTATGCCAAGTATACTTGTATACAATAATACTTGGTGTATACCAAGAGGTGTAACCCGCTTCTCGGTGGATATACACTTGAGAGCATACTTTAGTCCTAGATTTTATTCAGAAATACATTATTCTTGCTGCTTGACCAGTAAGGTGGTTGGTGTCTTAGATTTAGCTACTCAGAACGAAATGTAGCACGGGCTATGGTGAGCCCGTAAGGCCAGTAAGGTATTGTTGTTGTTTTAATAACCTTCCGTCGGTCGAGAGGTGTAATTCAGCTCAACACCAAACCAAAGGAAGAGATTTTTGTATGTATATAAACCGGTAGATGTATATTTTTTCCTCTCGGTGAATATACACTAAGTTTACTGTAATGCTGGAATAGATTCAGGACTAAAGTATTCTTAGAGGCTAGTCAGTAAGTAAGTGTTGGTCTTAATAGCCCTCCACAGAATGGATAATTTTAAGCCCAATATCAAACATAAGGAGAATTATTTCTTTATATATTAAACATCTGAAAATTCCTTTTCATCAATATAATTTACTTATGGCTGTGTTTTCATAGGTGTGATTATACAATTCCAGGATGAACTATTTTGTACAAATACTGAGAGCTAAATGATGAGTAATCCCAGATATTGGCCCTTGAGCCGAAGAAATAATATATATAATCCCTACCTCGATACATGCTAAGCATTTGCAGCAGATGCACGACATATAATCTTTTTCAACTCCTGGTGTCATCCAACTCAAGCCATCCTCACGACATTAAACTTACATTCTCTCTTTCCAGTCCTGCAATTGTAAGCACAGAGAACAATCTTTCATGGTGTGGGACGCATTTTCTGGGTCAGGAGCGACTAATCTCACTCGAAAGACACACAGAATTGACTTTGTAAAGAATTCAAAGTGCCACTTGTTCTAACGAAGTGACCGTCGCAACACACCACGAACGACACCATTCTGCCTATTAGGTAGTACTGGAGAGAGAGATATATGATACAATACCACCTTGAGTTGCTTGAATATCGAGACACCATACACCTTATGAACAAATCCACAAGGGCCGTGACGAGGATTCGAACCTGCGTTACCATAAACCTTAAATGGTTCCGTCCTAATGGGAGGACGATCACTGAGTCAACATGTCCCCTAACATGGCTTACACCAGTTGGAATCCCGCCTCATGCTTACAAATTTAGTTAATGAATTTTGTCTTTACAACAAACAGCGTCATTTTAACATTAATTTTGAAATTTCCTTCACACTTAGCCTAGTATATACAGAGGTCACAGATGTATGAAATTTTCAGGTAAAGTGTTATAAGCTTTTCAGACTTGCGAGTGTATGTATATACATACATATATACACCCAGCTCACACATCTGGAAAGGAAATAAGAGAAATGACGACGTTTCGGTCTGTCTCGGACCATTATCACGTCGTGTGATATAAACAACAATAAAAAAAGTAGAAGAGACAGCCAACAAAGTCGGTTGGAGAATAGCAGTAAAGTAAGAAGAAAAAATAAGTATGGGAAAGAGCATATATAGATATATATATTGTGGTACCACCTGTGGATTTGAGGACCCCTTAGCCTCAGAGAAGAGAATAAATGACATTCGAGGTAACAATTTTGGACCCTGTGTATGCACTTGCATACTGTCTTCTGTTAACTAACCTATACACAGGAATGGACAATGAGGCCTAATTGTTTAAACATATGTAAACAACTCAAAATTGAATATAGGGAACTTTCAAAAGTTATATATGAGGTACAATAATACATTCGGGCGCTGGAACTTTTTACAAGACTGTATGAGTTAAGGCTCAATGTTCAGACGAGATGGTTTAAGCAGAATTTCTCAAATATATATATATATAAATATAGGTTTTCTGTTTCACTACATTTTTGGCTATGATCAGCTAATGTTATAAAGTCTTCAGTCAGACGAGGTGAGTGAAGCACTCAATACTGTTAATATCTGTCACTTATCCTACTGTCTCTTGCAGTTTCAATGAGTGTAAACACACGACGATTTTCTAGGATATTAATCCTTGCAAGAAATCTTTCTGTACTTCACAATACATTCAAGTTTGTTAATTTGATATATCAACAGTTTCATTAACAACTTCACTTTATAAAGATATACACGAAAATCCTACATATTGTATATAAATTGCTATAAACATTAATATCAAAAGTTATCAAGAATGATCGAGAAATTAAACCAAGCAAATAAAATTTATGAAGGCAGAGTAGATGATGAAGGAAGAGTAGATGATGAATGAAGAGTAGATGATGATAAAACAAGAGAGATTTAGGTGAGAATGACTTCACACACACACACACACACACACACACACACACACACACACACACACACACACACACACACACACACACACACACACACACACACACACACACACACACACACACACCGTTGTGTCGAGCGGTACCTGGCAACTGCATCTTCCTATTGGTTCATTTTCTAAACAAAAAAATATATATTCCACCATATGAATAGTCCAGATTTATACATATTTAAAAAAAAAATTAAGTGTTCAGATTTAATAACATAGCATATAATTATATTATAACATAATCTACTGTATGTATACGTTACTATTTCTGTATAGGAATTCCATAATTTTTCTAAATATTGTTATATTGGCCATATAAAATGCTTCACCGAATGGTTTCTTGATTAATAATATGTTTCCTGGTTATTATAAAGGACGTCTATATATATAAAATATTGATACCAAAATTTCATAGATGCTATTGCCTATAACTTCAAGTTTGTGATATGTAGTCATCAGTACAGCTTAATTAAGTCAACGGTACATAGAAAACGACATCCTACATATCCAGGATAACTTAGGTAGGTGATTGACAAACGTTCATAGCCACTTTTAAATGATCAAAGCATCACGCACAATAGACAATCACACGTTTCTTATGAGTTAAATGTTTGCATACAGTGGTGTTTATTAAATACTGATCAATTAAACCATCTTCACCAGCTAATGGTTGTGATCCGTCCGCCTCCGTATGGCCCCGGGTTCGATTCTCCGAGAAGGACGAGGTGTTTGGACTCTGTTCCTTTTGCTGACGCTTCTATTCGCGAATTGCAGCCTCAGAAAGGTCAGGCATTGACCGAGGGCGACCTGGAGCACCCCTAACAGGGAACCTTGACTCTTAGCTCACAAACACGACCATGGACATTTAAAACAACCTATTATCCAAATATGATAGTACTTCTAGCAACTATTGATCAAACATCTAAAAAAGTGACTTAACACAAAAATTTCCTCGTTTTGTACATTTAATTTTGTAAAGTATGAGAAAGAAAGCAACAACTGAACCAAAACTTTCCTAGGCCTACGTATATATGTACTAAATTAGGCTTAAGATAGCACATACACATATTAAGGCCAAGGACAGGTTAGGTTAGGGTCAACTGTTATTGTTCCACTTTCTAGCATACTATTTGAAGTATTCCAGTGGTACAAAACGTGAATATGTTTGGGGTATAAGAAGTCATTTGTGTGCGTAGACCTTAAGTTGCTACAAGTTGCTATCGTGTTTGGAGTGTGGTTGAAATAATAAGGTATGAAGCTGAGCTCGAACTCTCGAAAGCTCGCGTGAAATTATTCCGCCGAGAGCTGCATCTCGTGCATTACCGCCCATGTTGGTTTTTATTTTCAGAGTTCTCTGGCAGCTAGAATATGCGAGGCTTTGAGCGTCCAAGCTCCTGCTGAGATGTGCGGAGGTGTGACATCTCCACACATCACTGGGATGTGCGGAGGTGTGACATCTCCACACATCACTGGGATGTGCGGAGGTGTGACATCTCCACACGTCACTGGGATGTGCGGAGGTGTGACATATCCACACGTCACTGGGATGTGCGGAGGTGTGACATCTCCAGACATCACTGGGATGTGCGGAGGTGTGACATCTCCAGACATCACTGGGATGTGCGGAGGTGTGACATCTCCAGACATCACTGGGATGTGCGGAGGTGTGACATCTCCACACGTCACTGGGATGTGCGGAGGTGTGACATCTCCAGACATCACTGGGATGTGCGGAGGTGTGACATCTCCAGACATCACTGGGATGTGCGGAGGTGTGACATCTCCAGACATCACTGGGATGTGCGGAGGTGTGACATCTCCACCCATCACTGGGATGTGCGGAGGTGTGACATCTCCTCACATCACTGGGATGTGCGGAGGTGTGACATCTCCTCACATCACTGGGATGTGCGGAGGTGTGACATCTCCACCCATCACTGGGATGTGCGGAGGTGTGACATCTCCACCCATCACTGGGATGTGCGGAGGTGTGACATCTCCACACGTCACTGGGATGTGCGGAGGTGTGACATATCCACACATCACTGGGATGTGCGGAGGTGTGACATCTTCACGCATCAGTCAACTGAGTTTCCGTTCACATCATTTTGACGCTTTACACAGATTCACAGCCCATCAGCTGAGTTCTGGTTCACATATAGTAGCCTCATCACGCCGCTTCGCACGCAATTTACCACATGGACAGCGAAAGTAGAACAGTTTCCTTGCGAGAAGTCAACATTTTCACTTGGCTTCAGACATTAAACATTTGCTTAGCAAAAATTGCTCATAGTAACCGGTCTTACATAAACGTTTTACTAATAAAAACATGGCAACAAGTCATACTAAATAGTGAAAATCCTAGTAATATTATCAGCAATAGGTTTATCAGTGTTATTCATAACGTAATATGAACTTCAGTGTAGTCAGTGTATCCCGTATGGCTCAAATGCTTCAGTATGATAGACCCTTTGATTATGGATGATGGAGTTGGCGTTCTTACGCTCTCTTGATCAACAAACAGCCATTGACAACCACACGGAGACAAAGGAGCAAACACGCGTCAACGTTCACTGAAAGGTCTTCGGCGTAACACATAAACAAAGTCTTTACCACATAAGATGCAACGAACATCTTAGTAGGGATACCCCAGACATCTTCCCCCCTCCCCCCCCCCTTCCCAAAAATACCTTAAGGACATTAACTATTACTAGCAGCTACGTTAGTGGAAATGGCAGTTATAACGCTGACGGTTGTTGGGTAGTTAGCTGGATAGAGTTGACGAGGAGGCATTGTTGGCTAGTTATCAGAGACGAGTTACATTGGGGGAAGTTAGAATAATAATGTGAAGATTTGTTTAACATCTGATGATGACACGGCTGAAGTTTTAGTGAATAGTAATTGTATATAATGGGCGTTATAATAGACAGATTAATGGTAATTATAGAGCAGTCAGCGTAGAATTGTGTGGGAGATCGTTGCATAGTCACCTCAGGTGAAGACTTGGTAAGCAGGAAAATCTTATAATAAGACGATCACCACTGGACATGAAAGATGGAGAAACAGATTGCATCGCTTGTAGAAGTTGTCGTATAGTGGGAGTAAGTCTCTTGGTATAGGTCAATATATATATGTCATCAGGCACAACAAGGCTTGAAGGTCCGTATACCAAACGAACATTACTACCGGCAAGCATAGTGTGACGATAGTTCGCCCGGCGTACTATACATAGAGTGGGCACTGGCTCCGTCAGTCCGTCTCTGCGTTTCCTGCTGTGCTTAGCGACGCTGAAGAAAATAAGAGCCCCAGGCGGGAACTTCTCCGACCCTGTATGATCTTAGCCTCGGGCTCGCAGCTCCGGCCAGATCGGCGGATGTCTTGAAGAGGTTATATCGATCCCGGCGGTCTTGGATTAACAGCGTGGTTCATATTATGTAGTGCATAGTTAGTGGCTGTGTTCTTGAGTGTGCACAGCTGTTCCGACATAGTGCTGTGCACAGCTCCTCATACTCTGGTGTACTTAGCACATGTTGAAGTGCCTCTTGCCGCTTAGCGAACGTGCAAGTTGATGAGCAACAATGTGTTAGATTTCTTAAATATTGAAATGCCTTGCAAACAGAAAACAATAAGATTACAGAAGACTATTGACACCCAAATTAGAGAAACACAAAATAACTTAAATCTAGTTTCCTTCGAACTACGTCAGACCTGAGTGGCTTAGATCGTTCCGTGATCGTGTAACATAGCGAGAATAAGGGTAATTAGGCCCCTTCGACTGTATAAGTTGACCATTCAGATATACACCTGTTGGTCGAGTGGTTAAGGTGCCTTGTACACTATAAGGGTAATTAGACCCCCTTCGACTGTATAAGTTGACCATTCAGATATACACCTGTTGGTCGAGTGGTTAAGGTGCCTTGTACACCAGTTGCATAGTGCTCCTGGCAGTATGGGTTCGAGTCACTTCTGGGGGTGTGAGTATTCAGTTGCATGTATGCCTGGTGACCATTCAGGCTTGTTCAGACTTGTATATATATATGTATGCCTGAAGGCGGTGTTCTTTGTGTACGCTCTTCCTAGCGGTTCACTGTGAAAGCCAGAGACATAACGTCGAGGAGTCTGTAAACACTAATCTACTTTGAGGAAATCATCTCAGTGTTCATGATCAAGCATGGAACTGGTGTGTGTATGTATTTGTAATTTGCTTAGTAATTGATAATTTATTGTTGTGGGAAGTACCTTTTGTTACTTTAGGGGGAGTGATGTATTGACTAGGTTTCGGATTGGTAAGTTAGTTGATAAGCTCATGATGGTCATGACTAGCCTTAGAGCCATAAAGCTCTAGAGCTACAGATCTCTAGAGTTCTAGAACTCTAGATCCATAGATCCCCTACCACCCCAGATGACCCGGAAACTGAACCATTTACGCGCTCAATCCTGTTTACATATATAATAACCTACGGATTCTATTATGCAAGTTTTTCATATAAAATTTAAATAACATTTAGTTGAAACACCAGATCTTTGAAAATATCACCACACAAAATAGCACAACCAATATATTCACTCTAAGTAGAGAGAATAAATTGTTTTCACGTTCGAAATTTATTCTGGCCGGCAGCAAGGCACAATACTCTTAAATCTTAAGGTAGACAACAGAGATCTAACCTCTCATTACCAACCTGAGTTTGTCACGTGCTGTGCAGCGGCCTGGCTGAGCTCTTCTAAATATTACTTACTCTAAAGGAATAAGCGAAAAACAGAACACCATGGTGCCATGGGATGTCAAAATCGAGCACAATGGTTTTCTGTGTGCTGCGTTTTTTTCCACAGAATTCGACTTAAATCTTCTCCCATAGAATCAGGAACTGGGACATGAGCTTGCACACTACATCACCGAATGCCCAGTTATCAGACCATTCAGACTCGTTGGCATGAGGTACCTGGAGCTTTGCAATTGCTTTATTCACTCTCGTGTTCTTGAAGATATCCTCATAATGCACCCAAAATTTGCCAGTGTAGGCTACTGAACCCTGTATGACTAACCCTACTGCGAGATGGGGACTTCTAGTATCACTGCTAACTTATTCACTCTTGTGTTGATGATATCCTCATAATGCACCCAGAGTCTGTCAGTGCAGACTACTGATCACATGCCTCTGTATGACTAACCATCCTGTGTGATGGGGGATTTTAGCACCACGTAGCTAGCTTTTTCACACACTGTACTCTACTTCTCTAGGGTAGCTGCACAAATGCAGATTTACCTAAATGTGTTAATTAAATAATAATAATAATTGGGGCGATACCCAGAGGCAAGTCCCTGGGTAAACTCAGCCTTACAGCTATGTTTAATCACTACAAATGTGTCTCAATACAGTGTTGACCAGACCACACACTAGAAATTGAAGGGACGACGACGTTTCGGTCCGTCCTGGACCATTCACAATCGACTTGAGAATGGTCCAGGACGGACCGAAACGTCGTCGTCCCTTCAATTTCTAGTGTGTGGTCTGGTCAACATACTTCAGCCACGTTATTGGGACTCATCGCCTGCTCAATACAGTGATAAGGAACAGTGGCATGCAAGTTTCAGCTTTACCCAATATATAAATAGAGCATAATTCCCTGCAAGTAACCTATAATGTGGCTTGTTATTGTTTTAGATTCAGCAACTGGGAACAAAAAGTTCCAAGTAGCACGGGCTATGGTGAGCCCCGTAGTGGACTTGTTGAATGTGGCTTTATTATATTGATTATTATTATCAATTGTACTTTTTTTTTACCCTCGTTATTGATAGGCGATGTATTCAGGTCGTAGTAATATTTTACGCCAAGACGTGTTCCAAATACTGTTTGTTGGAAAACAATATTAATAATATTATTAGTAATAATATTAAATTACAATGATATTAATAATATTATTAGTAATAACATTAAAATATAATGACTTAATGAAAATTAATAACAGTAATATTGTCTGATATAAAGGTTTGATTTCTTCATTATAAACAACTGTTAACAGAAACAGTTCATACACTCCTCTGTGCAAATGAATTGATTGAATAATAGATGAGTACAAAATAGATAGAAAAAATGAGTTTTATGTTTTCTAACTTGAACACAAATTAGCATAAACCAGGCCTAACAAAAGGCTTACATTCTCTCTCTCTAAGATTACGAACTTTAAGAAATATCTGCTCAAAAATTATGAAAATGTCTAAATAAGTATCTATTTATATAAAATACTGCACTTACACATTTAATTTGTACTTAATCGCTATTCAAATGGTTCCAAAAATAAATGCCATGCCCAGGGACACATTTCCATTACTGGCTTACAGTAGTCGACGATAGAAACATGTTCTTTTCGAATAAATTAACTGTGTTTATAACTGGCCCTTATAGATTATAGAGATGAATTAAAACACTTTAGCTCCCCCTTGCTAGAATTTATTAGTTTTTTCATTTTTTCTCGTGATTTCTTATGAGAAGAAAATGGATCCAATTATCGGTGTTAAATTTTAAGGGATGAGCTATTCTAATTATAGAACTGGCAGATCAGTTTGCATGGTTACAATTAGGATCGATAGGTACGATTTCTCTTGGCATTTGCTAATATAATGTTGACCAGACCACACACTAGAAAGTGAAGGGACGACGACGTTTCGACTTGAGAATGGTCCAGGACGGACCGAAACGTCGTCGTCCCTTTACCTTCTAGTGTGTGGTCTGGTCAACATATTTCAGCCACGTTATTGTGACTCATCGTCTGCTAATATGGAGTGAATTAAGAGACTGGAGTGAATCTTGTTGATATTTTGGGCTCTGCATGTATTCCTGATATTGAATCGAATCCACATTTAAATTAAGCGAGGAGTCTTATCATACTAACATATCCCAAAGCTTTAATGCGACTTTGTATTTAGACCAAATAATGAATAACATTTCAGGATGAATAAGGACTTCCTTGTACCAGATGACAGATGTCAACAGGAGTTGAGTAGCATCTGACATCAATATAGAACAAGTACGTAAAGCACATATACTTTTAAACAGCGGAACTGTACTTCATATTTCCTTCACTTAAAAGTTCTTGCTTTATTATGCACCCCCATACCCATCCCGTGAGCGGTAGTGGAAAGGGTTACAGAGACACATAATATGTTCAGGAACTGAACCTTTTCCCTTCATATAAGAGAGAGACGGTTTATCAACTAAGTGATAAGCATCAACTAGACAGTTACAACCCCACTTCTGTGCCATGTAAGTCCACAACGGGCTCACCATAGTCCGTGCTACTTGGAATTTTTTGTTCCGAGTAGCTGAATCTAAAAATAACAACATCAAGTAGCGAGTAGGCTTGATTATGTCTAACGTTTCGCTTGTAAAAACTCTTGACCAAACCTATGAGACTGACAGAACTAATACTTATACACGGAGAAGGTGCTGGGTGCTGTTTGGAGGCGTCCTAACAGCTATTCCAAAGAGTAATAACAGTTGTCTTATTTATTTTAGCCAAATGTGTGTCTGAACTATCGGAAAGTAGTTGAGTTGCACTTCTTAGACACCCTGGAGGGTCTAAGAAGACAGACACTCATTATAGACACCCTATAATATCTTGTAGAAACGGCATATATTTGGAAATATTATATTAAAAATTATTAAACTATTACAATGTATTCACTTCAAGTACTGAGATTAAAAACAAAAATTTCACTTTCGAAATTTGCTGTGGCGGGCAACGAGGCACTGTGAGATTTGATAAATAATGAGTGGATAAAGAATATCAAGAATGAGAAACTCGCAAGTGTGCATAGCACTTCACTTTTCAGTAGAGTTCCTAACGCGTAAAGTCTGAAGGTTACTGAAAGAATTTTTTTTTCAAATCGACCTTCCCTCTCTATCTTACCACGAGTGATCAACATTTTTTTTGTATATTACTATTTATGTCTGTTCTCGATTCACTTTCAGCTAACCTTATTTTTTCCCCTTATTACAAGGCACTGGTCACGTGTATGTCTGTCTTTATACAGAGACTTTATACGACTGTATAAGACTTTATATATCCTCCGAGGCTAAACGTCACTTATCAGCTTCAATAAAGTTCATTTTATTGACTTGACTTTATTGCCTTGTGTTTTCACTTACCTTTCTCTTGTATACAATATTACCGTACAGTACTTGAATTTTTAGTCAATTACGTCAATTCAAAATGTAAAACCATTTTCTGAACTAATTCTGTTTTTGTATAAATGTCAACAATTGTATATTTATGACTATAGATATTCAGTTAAAGAGCAAATGAACACACTGGTTTGTATCATTCATGAAGATACAAAGATATATCTCGCTATTGTGTGCAGGATTTGCACTGTGTGGAAATCCTGGAGAATTGTTGGTAGCGGGTTCGAGGATGATGGCTAACTCTTGGCTAACAAGCCAAGAGTTAGGATGACTTCTGCCAGCTCGACCTGATGCCCTCAAGTCCCACTCTCATTTCGGGTGTCTTGACTTCAATCATCCTCAGTAGATCTCTGTCAGGGTCAGTGCATCAGGCTTTCGAAAAACTTGTTTTTTTTGTTTCGTTTTTGACTATTTTGACCAATTGGAAAGTATGATTTTTCAAGAATCATTTGTCGCACCTTTTTCGTGAGAAGCTAGGCTTGCACTATCGACTTGACTTGAGATAGTGTCACAATCGACTTGAGAATGGTCCAGGACGGACCGAAACGTCGTCGTCCCTTCACCTTCTAGTGTATGGTCTGGTCAACATACTTTAGCCACGTTATTGTGACTCATCGCCTGCATAGGCTTGCACTAACTCGTCTCTGTTGTCTGTCTGTCTTTACATTTATACAGTAATGCTTTACACCATTTTTTCAGCACCATGTTGTCACTTGGGAACCTAAATAACCACAACGCGAACACGTTTACAGGACTACAGTCGCAATACAGACTAGAGAAAGTAGCATAAATGTTCACCACGGCGAAGTGATTCCAGGTTCACTAAACAGCGATAGTCTCCTTGCCTGCACAATGTTTAGGAAGGACCTGCTTTCCGACGCAAGAAAGTAGGGCGTCCGGACTTTCTTGGATTTAGACTAATCCTCTTAAAATTGTATTATCCAATAAAACTCTTAAAGGTGAGTAAGGGTATTAAATTCTTTAAAAACATAAAGATTTAGATAAGGAGTCTAAACCAGTTCTGATTTTAATATTTCCTCAGTGTGAATTCCCTGCCCGAAACGCTTTGCGTAATAGTGGCTTTAGTTGTTGTTGTTGTTAAAGATTCGCTACCTGGAACAGAAAGTTCCAAGTAGCACGGGCTATGGTGAGCCCGTAGGGCTTTAGGCATTGTATGTACTTGCTCTATCTATAAATCTATCAATTTTTGTAAAACCTCTTGTATGTATGTACCTTATCTGAATAAACATTTATTTATTTATTTATTTATTTATTTATTTATTTATTTATTTATTTATTTATTTATTTATTTATTTATTTATTTATTTATTTATTTATTTATTTATTTATTTATTTATTTATTTATTTATTTATTTATTTATTTATTTATTTATTTATTTATTTATTTATTTATTTATTTATTTATTTATTTATTTATTTATTTATTTATTTATTTATTTATTTATTTATTTATTTATTTATTTATTTATTTATTTATAACATCAGCGATCACAATGAAAGGCTTGAAGTGCCTGTGGCGTAAGGTTCGAATTGTGAAAAAAGAATGTTGACGTTTTCTATAACATGAAACACTTATGGGGGGACCAAGCAACACCTATGGTCCGACTGGAAGTGTTGACCAACATACGAAACACGTGTTGAGAGCCCTAGCCGACCAGACAGTGACTTCTAATGAGGACTACAGGATGCAGACGCTGGCGGTATTGACCGAGACAATGGAGGGTCTCTGTACTGAAAGGTAGCAGCGTCTTAAAGATGCGAGAATACATTAGTCTCCTCAGGGGATACAGTTCCGGCTACACTCTACGTAAACACCAGGTTCAGTAAATAATAACCGCCGTTAGGGATAATGCCGCAAGGGGCTGTGTTTCGACAATGCCACAGATATCTTTATGTGATATGTGAAAACCGACCAACACTGGAATATTATTCCTCTTGTGACTACATACACTTTTTGTTAAGATCTGTAATTTCCGCTTACACTGACGAAGTCACTGATGCGAAGATAGCGTCTCTCTGATTTAGAAAACGTGTCTGTATTGTCAGGTGGGACATTTGTAATTATATCTAAACCAAAAAGCAGTGAAATTTCGTTTGAATTAAGTTCCTCGCAAGATGAAATTTTAGTACATTATTTTTTTTCTTTCAGAAATGTACAAAGGACTGAATGTCTACTGATAACGAGTGACGAAGGGTCAAGTCTGTTCTGTGTATATGTGGTAAGTCTGATCTGTGTACGTACGTTCTCTGTACATTCTATTCATGCAAGTTTTCACATACTGTATACACATTTAAAAATAACTGACAAAAAAGTAACAAGAATATCAATGCCCTCAAAGCTCTAGAAATCTAGAAGTTCAAAGTATGCTATCGCTAGTTACCTCTACTCTTGATATCTACAATATCGAAGGATGAGCAAATGTCACATGACCGCCATCAAAGAAAACAGCAGCCTTAGAGTGATAGCGGAAACTGAGATAATATTATGAGCTTGATTCTCATTTCGTGCGCGTGCGCACCACACGTAAGAGCCAATAGCAAAATATATTTGCCTCTCCCTTGCGAGAAAATTGTGATTCTATATCTATCATATTATGTCATATCATATACAAGGTATTTAAAATATAGAAAAAACCTTACCCATTCTCTTAAATCTCAAAGCTAACAATGAGTACAAAATAAGGTAACCAAGACTGCTTCAGAACCAACAATACAAGGGATATATAGATAGATTATATATATATATATATATATATATATATATATATATATATATATATATATATATATATATATATATATATATATATATATATATATATATATATATATATATATATATATATATATATGCAATTGACGATCACAAAACACTGATCATTTTATGCGGAAAATCCACAGAGAAATATGAAATGAGGTGAACGTTTCGGCTTTGTTAAAGCCTTTGTCAACACCAGACTGACTCAAATAAAGTCAGTCTGGTGTTGACAAAGGCTTTAACAAGCCGAAACGTTCACCTCATTTCATATTTCTCTGTGGATTTTCCGCATATATATATATATATATATATATATATATATATATATATATATATATATATATATATATATATATATATATATATATATATATATATATATATATGTCGTACCTAGTAGCCAGAACGCACTTTTCAGCCTACTATGCAAGGCCCGATTTGCCTAATAAGCCAAGTTTTCCTGAATTAATATATTTTCTCTAATTTTTTTCTTGTGAAATGATAAAGCTACCTATTTCATTATGTATGAGGTCAATTTTTTTTTATTGGAGTTAAAATTAACGTAGATATATGACCGAACCTAACCAACCCTACCTAACCTAACCTAACCTATCTTTATAGGTTAGGTTAGGTTAGGTAGCCGAAAAAGTTAGGTTAGGTTAGGTTAGGTAGGTTAGGTAGTTGAAAAACAATTAGTTCATGAAAACTTGGCTTATTAAGCAAATCGGGCCTTGCATAGTAGGCTGAGAAGTGCGTTCTGGCTACTAGGTACGACATATATATATATATATATATATATATATATATATATATATATATATATATATATATATATATATATATATATATATATATATATATATATATATATATATATATATATATATATATATATATATATATATATATATATATATATATATATATATATATCCTGCTTCTCTCAGTACAGTACATACTCTGAGTTTACTTCAAGTCCTGAACTATGTTCAAGACGAATGTGTACTTGCTGGTTGATCAACAAAGTAGTTGTGGCAGCATTAGCACACCAACCTGTGGTCCGGAGGCCTGAAGCCATCCAACAGTTGCATTTCTTGGCGTATTTTAGCGATCTTGTTTTTTTCTATATTTCTTCCATTTTTCCTTTCTGTGTCTCACAGTTTACAGACCAGAAGTGAGCATTAAGGAAAACGGATACACCTTGTGACTCAAGCCTATCTTAAGACCCATATTGGATGATCTAAGCTCGTCTTAAGCCTCTAGGATTGTGATCTAATCTTCTCTTAAACCCTAGCACCATGAGATTCAGGCCTATTTTCAGCACTGGCCCGTGTGATTCAAGAGTGTCTCAAGTCCCTCACCGTGTGTTCCCAGACCTTCTTAAGACCCATCAACCCTCAAGTTCAAGGACGTTTATAGAGATCATAAAATACAAGTTGACCAGACCACACACTAGAAGGTGAAGGGACGACGACGTTTCAGTCGATCGAGGACCATTCTCATCGACTTGAGAATGGTCCAGGACGGACCGAAACGTCGTCGTCCCTTCACCTTCTAGTGTGTGGTCTGGTCAACATATTTTAGCCACGTTATTGTGACTCATCGCCTGCACATAAAATACATCTTAAAAGGATAGAGTAGCTTAGGGCTATTTCTACCCCTTCTTCCATCAACCTGTCTGATGCAAGTCCCATGTTGAGATTTGGCATACCTGTAATTTATCTCTAGTTGGTTTCGAGAGTTCTTTTACTTCCTAAGCCTGGCCTGGCTTAGGTTTCCTTGATGATAATGTGACCGGTTAGACTTATTTGAAGTGGCCAGCAGGATTGTATTCCATTACAAGCCGGCTAAGCAAGCCCTTCTTACAGGAATTATTCAATTGCCTTTCGAAAACACCCACTTTATAAGTAATAAGTGACACCTTCACCTAAATCTGCATCATTCTGTAGTGTTTAATTGAGCTGCTTTTGTAAAAAAAAATTTTTTGTTTTTTAAATCCAATAAAATATTTTGTATTAGAATACATAATGGTTGCTTATTTTGTATATATATATATTATATTATTGTTTTTTATGTATCACAGTTTTTTTTAAATATTAAAAATTTTATTGTGTTTTTTTTCTTGTTGCATTTTAGATATATTTATATATTCTCTAGTATAAAGATTTTGAGACGGTGTAACTAAGGGATGTTGACAATGTTTAGTGTTTAACATTTTAAACGTGTTTTCTAAAGTCAGGACGGCCAAGATCGTCAAGGGATACTATCCTATACCTCGCTCCTCACATTGGTTCTATTCACAGCTGTGAGAGCAATCCAATACACACCTGCGACGTCGCTCTTCCACACCTGTTGGGTCTTATTTACTTGTTCACATCTGCGCGAGAATGTGTAGAAAGATGCCGATGCTCATCTTCATGAACACTGGCATGTTCATCTTCCAAGTCCTTGTATCTGCAGGCGGAGGAACATCGGACTACAGCGGTAACGCCGCGGGCTATATCTTCCACCACACCTGTCACACCAGGTGTTTCTGACACCCAGCGTCACCTGTTGGACCTCGCCCAGATGCTCACAGCTGTCGAGCTTCACCCAGATGTTCACATCTGCGACAGGAGAGAGATGGAGGAGCGGCGGACGTCGGCAGCTGTGGCCTTCCTCTCCACCACCATAAACTCCACCTCGGGCCGGGACCGGCTCACCCAGCACCCGGCGATCAGACGGGCAGCTTCCTCGTGGCTCTGACCTGGAATGAGGCAGGAGGCTGAGACGACCTGAAGGACTTACGGGGGTCAGAAACGATTACAAGCCGACATGAGGAGGTAATACAGATCTTTACCCCCCCCAGCATCAGGTACGGTTCAGTTACCCCTTACAAGATCTAGAAGGAGAGAAGAACTCTCAGCATCGTTTAGAAATGCCCAGCAGACTATTGCAACATTATCTAAAACAATGCAGTAGAGTTATAAACTAAAGATGATTACCATTTTGATTAAACATCACAGAAGTAGTTAAGCTCATTGGACATGACCTTACTGAAGCCACCATACGAGTCTTAAGTACTCAACTAATACCAGAAATTAACATTGAGTGGGCCAGCCAGAGACTTAGCGCTCGCTCAAGGATTTCCCTGTAAAAATACAACTACTACTAATAATAATAATAATATTAATAATAATAATACAAAATGCAGATCTATGAATGATATATTATTACATAACGACTGAATTCTACCAGAGCACAAACAATTATGACTTCCGAGACATTAACTGTAGGGGCGCAGACAGTAACACAGACGGGGAGGGGGAGGGAGAGGGAGGAGGGAGAGAGAGAGAGAGAGAGAGAGAGAGAGAGAGAGAGAGAGAGAGAGAGAGAGAGAGAGAGAGAGAGAGAGAGAGAGAGAGAGAGAGAGAGAGAGAGAGAGAGAGAGAGAGAGAGAGAGAGAGAGAGAGAGAGAGAGAGAGAGAGAGAGAGAGAGAGAGAGAAAGGTTGATTTAAGAGCACACACACAAATATGAAAAGAGAAGTAGACAGGAAGGTCGGCAGACACTGACAGACAGGAAGGTTGGCAGACACTGACAGACAGGAAGGTCGGCAGACATTGACAGACAGGAAGGTCGGCAGACACTGACAGACAGGAGAAGACAGGAAGGTCGGCAGACACTGACAGACAGTAGGAGACAGGAAGGTCGGCAGACACTGACAGACAGTAGGAGACAGGAAGGTCTGCAGACACTGACAGACAGTAGGAGACAGGAAGGTCGGCAGACACTGACAGACAGTAGGAGACAGGAAGGTCGGCAGACACAGACAGACAGGAGGAGACAGGAAATTCGGCAGACACTGACAGACAGTAGGAGACAGGAAGGTCGGCAGACACAGACAGACAGTAGGAGACAGGAAGGTCGACAGACACTGACAGACAGTAGGAGACAGGAAGGTCGGCAGACACAGACAGACAGTAGGAGACAGGAAGGTCGACAGACACTGACAGACAGTAGGAGACAGGAAGGTCGGCAGACACTGACAGACAGGAAGGTCGGCAGACACTGACAGACAGGAGGAAACAGGAAGGTCGGCAGACACAGACAGACAGGAGGCGACAGGAAGGTCGGCAGACACTGACAGACAGTAGGAGACAGGAAGGTCGGCAGACACTGACAGACAGGAAGGTCGGCAGACACTGACAGACAGGAAGGTCGGCAGACACTGACAGACAGGAAGGTCGGCAGACACTGACAGACAGGAAGGTCGGCAGACACTGACAGACAGGAGGAAACAGGAAGGTCGGCAGACACTGACAGACAGGAGGAAACAGGAAGGTCGGCAGACACAGACAGACAGGAGGAGGCAGGAAGATCGGCAGACATAGACAGACAGTAGAAGACAGGAAGGTCGGCAGACACTGACAGACAGGAGGAGGCAGGAAGGTCGACAGACACTGACAGTAGGAGACAGGAAGGTCGGCAGACACAGACAGACAGGAGGAGACAGGAAGATTAGCAGACACAGACAGACAGGAGGAGACAGGAAGGTCGGCAGACACAGATAGACAGGAGGAGACAGGAAGGTCGGCAGACACTGACAGACAGGAAGGTCGGCAGACACTGACAGACAGGAAGGTCGGCAGACACTGACAGACAGGAAGGTCGGCAGACACTGACAGTAACCCACAACCAGTAACCTTACCGTCCAGCTTCTGGCCGTCCACCGCCAGGATGACCTGACCAACCCGCAGCCCGCCAGCCTCGAACGCCGCCCCGTTGGCAGCGATGTTGATCACCCTGGGGAGCTTCTGCTTGGTGTCTGCGCCACCCTCGATAGCGATGCCCAGGTTGGGTCGGGTCTTCTTCACCACGACCCGGAACCTGCCCAAGCTGTCACTCACCACAAGCGATGTCTGCCGTGCCCAAGACAGGACAATACAAAAAAAAATATTAATTTTAAGTGCTATATAGAGTGCTTAAGGGATAAGCAATTATAAAATAACACTTAGGACTCAATGGTAATATATATATATATATATATATATATATATATATATATATATATATATATATATATATATATATATATATATATATAAATAAAAGTGTTATATGAAATTAGTTAAGATGCCTTGAGAACGTCAGCATTGTACCCTATGCCCCTTTCACCCTATGCCCCTGTTACCTAGCAGTAAAATAGGTACCTGGGTGTTAGTCAGCTGTCACGGGCTGCTTCCTGGGGGTGGAGGCCTGGTCGAGGACCGGGCCGCGGGGACACTAAAAAGCCCCGAAATCATCTCAAGATAACCTCAAGATTGTACATGAAAGTAAATCTCTCTGGGGTTGAATACTCTGTTGAACTCATGGCTTCAGGCTACTACTAGGCGAAGTGAATTTTTATTGTTAGGGGGGAAAGCGCCAAGCCATTACGACTATATAGCACTGGGAAGGGGTCAGGATAAGGATTAGGGATGGGACGGGGGTAAGGAATGGTGCCCAATCACTTGGACGGTCGGGGATTGAACGCCGACCTGCATGAAGCGAGACCGTCGCTCAACCGTCCAGCCTAAGTAGGCGAAGTGAAGCTAGAGTTGTATAATATTATATTTGTCCCATCACGTTCAGAGCTCGGAGAGCATATGTGGTCAACCCCATCAAGAGGTTGACCCATCACGTTCAGAGCTCGGAGAGCATAGTGGTTGTGGGAACCGACCTGTGAGATTTATATTTATTTAATTTATATGAATTTATATTTACGTTAATTTATATACTTCGATAGCAATTTGTATAATGATAAGTGGACTGTATTTCTGCAATAATCTCATAATCTCACAAATCGATCCTCTACACATTAGGGGGGTTTATATTTATATGTATGCAGCCAATCAAACTACAGTAACTACATACATTGAAGAGGTTCCTTATCTTATAGTACAGCAGGTTAGTCCACCAGGTATAACTAGGGTGTAGACACCAAATTATCCTCTTTGAGGTAGCTTCCATATCACCCAGTAACTGGTGCACAAATCCTTCCTCGTCTTGACCTGTCAAAAGTGCGCTAGCTGTGAAGCCAGAATCCTATATATGACAAGCTATATCAGAGAAAACTGTACATGGAACATTAAAGACCTGGCTTAATTACCTTTAGTTTGAGGCTTCCATGTGATCTAACCGGGTCAACCCTATATCCTGACATTAATGGCCATAAATGAATGATAAACGGGTTTCGGATAGACACTTAACTTGAATTTGTAGACAGCGTGTTGACAATGGTACACTTTTGGCTTCCATAACACTACGTCCAAGTAAATTTAACAGGAGCCGAATTTGCTCCCGTGTGAGCCTCTGGTCTCAATAAACAATGGCTGCCCTCCTCCTCACTCTGACGCCTGGCTTACATTGTCCAGATTTCAGAACGTGATAGAAGGGTCACATTTACTCTACTTTAATATTGATAATTAAGTTAATTTATATAAGATGTTTTTATGATGGTAAAGTCCAAAGACTAATGTATTTAAGAATAATTCCCAGCAGAATAGCTGGTGAATTATAATAGTATGTGGTGATGATATCCCGTTTTCTATAGACGGTAATTCCACTACAAGTTACGTTTTCTATGGGTAACTTGTTGGTAATACAGTTATTATCTGTATGATTATTAAATGGTGTCGGATTTTCCGACATAATTCCCCAGGGGGCTGCTCACGGGTCGAAGTCCTAATTAGAACAGACGAACACCGATACTCCTCCTTCGGAATTATTACATTAATTTGATGTTAGTAGTTAGTAATCACACATTTGTGCGTCTGTTCGTACAGGACGGATGTCCCGTACTAGAGTTGCAGGGGTTAGAAGTCTAATGCGATTTCATTTCCCTGTCAACTCTTGAAAGGCTAATATTCAAGCCTTATTACTTATTATTTAACCCAGAAGACTGGATGTGATCAAGTACTACAGACAAGTATGATTCAGGGACTGCAGTGAGATCAGTGACATAGATATAACTTGAAGTTTCTTCAGGTAACTGGTCACTGATATATAAACACTGAGGCCCATGGAATACATCTTGATTAAATAATAAATGTATCAAATCAGTCATCAGATTTATTGGGGTTTAATTTAGTTAATTGATTCAGAAGATTGAATAGCTCATCATTAAAGTAAAGTATGGTTCTGAGACTACAGTGGGTTCAGTGACATTGGTCGCAGTGACTTGTAGCTGCTTAAGCTACTGTTCACTGATTTGCCACTGAGGCCTCATGAACTCATCTCCAGCTTTAAATGATGATACTAACATCAACCTCTGTTGGTATAGTCAGCTGTAATCTCCTTAGTATAATGCTACTGGAGAAATATAATCAGCTGACAAATTTAGATTTCTATTGGTATTGTTTATCTGCAGGCATAGGTCTCCTCAGGCTTGATACTGGGCCTGAGAGTAATTTACCTCCTGCAGAGTTTAACATGGTTATACCCTGATATTTAGTAGGGCTACCGATGAATCGATGACAATAGTCTGTCCCTACAAGGAGACCGAAGTCGGTGAGGTGATCAGACTTAATATTATCTGCCAATTTTATTCCTCTATTTCTCAGGAATTTGGCTGTTGCTCTCAGACCTTGAACTTGTAGGTCTACTGGTATTTTGTCCACCACAATGGCTTGTACTCTACAGACGTACCTGCCTAAGCGTACTGATGGTTGTACCACCTGGTAGACTTGAGGTCCTGCATCTGTTACAAACCCTGAGATGTTGAATGACATCTGGGCTACAGGCCTTAATTGTAGTTCATCTGCCAGCTTTTTAGTGATATATGTTCTCTGGGATCCTTGGTCAAACAACCCACGGGTATGGACCTTGGCCCTCTTATTCAGGATGGTAATTTGGGCAGTAGGCAAAGTCGTATTACCTTTAGACTTTGCCGATTGGACACTGTTTGTTTGTTGCACCTTGCAGTACTGTACTGAGGTGGGAATGCTATCTTCCACCTTGGGGTTTGGAGACGTTGTTTTGGTGTCTCTGCACAATGCTGCATGGTGTTGACCTTTGTTACACCTATTACAGGTGTGTAATTGGGTATCACAGTCGTTGATGTTATGTTTCCTGAGGCACCTCGTGCAATGTTGCAAATCTTTGAGTCGCTCAACACGGGCGTCACTATCAGGAAAATTAGAGCAGTGGTACATTGAATGTTTCTCATTGCAGAACAAACATGTTCCATAGCTTCCAGTACCCTTTGGTGTCACGTTCTTGGATGACACAGTAACTATAGGCTTGGAGGGTCCCACTGCATATACGCCCACACTGCCACTGTTCCACTTTGGTGTTGAATTATATTGTCTAGATTGATTTGGAGTACCTTTGGTACTCTGTGGTTTGCTATTATTGGTTTCTGAGGGTTTACTTGGTGGTTTTAATTTGTCATGTGTTCGTAATTGATGAACTACTGACTTTAAACCTTCAGATATTTCATTCATGGATAAGATGCTTTTATTGTAATGAGCACTCATTTGTCTCAATATGTCCCTAGGTATTTTCTCCTGGACAATTATTTTCAAGACCCACTCAGCCCCGTTTGTATCTGCTGTCAGGCTGAGGGCATTGATCAATGATTCTACCTCCAGCTTGAAGACTTGGAGTGAATCAGCTGAAGCCTCCGGTGGGGGTAAATGCAACAGCTCATGAACTAAATGTGATGTTCTTACTTCTGGATCAGCATAATTATCCTTGAGGAGTTTTACTGCCAGATCATAGCCGTCATTAGTTAATCTCAGATGGGATACTACTGTTTTAGCCTCACCTGATAATTGGCCTTGCAAATAAGAGAATTTACTACTCTTTGGTAAAGATTGTTTTGAGTCTACAAGGTCAACGAATTTGTTCCAAAATTCGTCCCAATCTTCCTCATCTTTTCCTGAGAAAGTGGGTAAATTAATTGGAGGGAGTCGAGCTTCTGCTTGACTCGTATTAGATGCAACTGTTGTTATTGTTGCTGTTGCCTTGTTCTGGGCAATTAATTTGACATAAGGCTGTAACGTGGCCTGAGTGTGATCTTCATAATTCGCAAGATCAACCATAATGTCGTCTATTTCTGTTTCTGATAAATTGGTGTTGGCAAGTTCAGCCACATATGTTGCTATTTGGCATTTGATTTGCTCAAATTTACCTGCAGCTGCTTGATAATAGCTTTCCAGGTCAGCATAATCAACTGTTGATTGTTGTGACAAATCTTCACATTTCTTGATCTGTCTTGTTAAGTGGCCTTTAAGACCTGCAAGGGTTCTTTTCATTCTCCCTGCATTATCCATACTGGCTCGTTGGTGAAGCCTTGTGGGGCTTGTACTTGGGCTGCTCATAATACTGAACAAACACTAATGGTAGCCTAGGGTAAATTCTGCACTCACTAGGCAATAATCCTACCTCTACTAGAGGTTAGCACTTAAAATTAATACACATTATATATATACAATCATCCACACTAATGATTTGAGTGATAAACCAGTGTCACTGGAAGTACCTTTAGGTTAGCTCTTCTATATCACCCTAGGATGGTAGAGACACTAATTAATCACTCAAAGGTGTAATGATCATAAGTAATTTATTATATATACAACTCAACTCGAGTTGTTAAAAATTACACCCAAAATAGGGTCTGGACCATTCATTAATGGTGTTAGGTTGTTCAATATAGTACTACTGACTATGGTAATAATGGGACTAGGATGAGCAATAATAGTTCAACTAGTCATATCCTACCCTGTTGTGGGTTGGCAATTAGTAAATATTATACTGTGATCACTAGTGCAATATATATTAAATAATTCTCTATTTTGGAGAAATAATATACACAATTATTGATAATAGCCTCTTAATTAGCCTCTATGAAACTTCTATTATTATCTAGAAGTATTAAATATTATTAGTGACCTCGCGAAATAAACTCCACAAAATTCGTAGATAATCTCTCGCGAAATGTAACACCACGAAATCCGTGAACAATCTCGCGAAGACACAGTCACTAATTTGGCTGGATTCTATATTAGCGCTGTCATTTCACGAAATAACACGCCACCAAATCTGTGGGTGTGCATGAAACCGCTGACTAAGGCTGATCTGGGCTGAGGGAGGCTCCTGAGCTCCCTCGAGGCTACGCTGCCGTCTTGACTGCTGGCTTTGTTTAAATAACACTGCACTAGTATATTTAATGAATCCACTGGATAACTGGTTCATCCGGTACTAAGATGACCAAATGTGGGTTCAAAGGATCAAATAATCCGTCATCCGGTTCGAAGATGACCAAATAATGTGGGAACCGACCTGTGAGATTTATATTTATTTAATTTATATGAATTTATATTTACGTTAATTTATATACTTCGATAGCAATTTGTATAATGATAAGTGGACTGTATTTCTGCAATAATCTCATAATCTCACAAATCGATCCTCTACACATTAGGGGGGGTTTATATTTATATGTATGCAGCCAATCAAACTACAGTAACTACATACATTGAAGAGGTTCCTTATCTTATAGTACAGCAGGTTAGTCCACCAGGTATAACTAGGGTGTAGACACCAAATTATCCTCTTTGAGGTAGCTTCCATATCACCCAGTAACTGGTGCACAAATCCTTCCTCGTCTTGACCTGTCAAAAGTGCGCTAGCTGTGAAGCCAGAATCCTATATATGACAAGCTATATCAGAGAAAAACTGTACATGGAACATTAAAGACCTGGCTTAATTACCTTTAGTTTGAGGCTTCCATGTGATCTAACCGGGTCAACCCTATATCCTGACATTAATGGCCATAAATGAATGATAAACGGGTTTCGGATAGACACTTAACTTGAATTTGTAGACAGCGTGTTGACAATGGTACACTTTTGGCTTCCATAACACTACGTCCAAGTAAATTTAACAGGAGCCGAATTTGCTCCCGTGTGAGCCTCTGGTCTCAATAAACAATGGCTGCCCTCCTCCTCACTCTGACGCCTGGCTTACATTGTCCAGATTTCAGAACGTGATAGAAGGGTCACATTTACTCTACTTTAATATTGATAATTAAGTTAATTTATATAAGATGTTTTTATGATGGTAAAGTCCAAAGACTAATGTATTTAAGAATATTCCCAGCAGAATAGCTGGTGAATTATAATAGTATGTGGTGATGATATCCCGTTTTCTATAGACGGTAATTCCACTACAAGTTACGTTTTCTATGGGTAACTTGTTGGTAATACAGTTATTATCTGTATGATTATTAAATGGTGTCGGATTTTCCGACAGTGGTCAACCCCATCAAGAGGTTGACCCATCACGTTCAGAGCTCGGAGAGCATATGTGGTCAACCCCATCAAGAACGTTCAGAGCTCGGAGAGCATATGTGGTCAACCCCATCAAGAGGTTGACCCATCACGTTCAGAGCTCGGAGAGAGCATATGTGGTCAACCCCATCAAGAACGTTCAGAGCTCGGAGAGAGCATATGTGGTCAACCCCATCAAGAGGTTGACCCATCACGTTCAGAGCTCGGAGAGCATATGTGGTCAACCCCATCAAGAACGTTCAGAGCTCGGAGAGAGCATATGTGGTCAACCCCATCAAGAGGTTGACCCATCACGTTCAGAGCTCGGAGAGAGCATATGTGGTCAACCCCATCAAGAACGTTCAGAGCTCGGAGAGCATATGTGGTCAACCCCATCAAGAGGTTGACCCATCACGTTCAGAGCTCGGAGAGAGCATATGTGGTCAACCCCATCAAGAACGTTCAGAGCTCGGAGAGAGCATATGTGGTCAACCCCATCAAGAGGTTGACCCATCACGTTCAGAGCTCGGAGAGCATATGTGGTCAACCCCATCAAGAACGTTCAGAGCTCGGAGAGAGCATATGTGGTCAACCCCATCAAGAGGTTGACCCATCACGTTCAGAGCTCGGAGAGAGCATATGTGGTCAACCCCATCAAGAACGTTCAGAGCTCGGAGAGAGCATATGTGGTCAACCCCATCAAGAGGTTGACCCATCACGTTCAGAGCTCGGAGAGAGCATATGTGGTCAACCCCATCAAGAACGTTCAGAGCTCGGAGAGAGCATATGTGGTCAACCCCATCAAGAGGTTGACCCATCACGTTCAGAGCTCGGAGAGCATATGTGGTCAACCCCATCAAGAGGTTGACCCATCACGTTCAGAGCTCGGAGAGAGCATATGTGGTCAACCCCATCAAGAGGTTGACCCATCACGTTCAGAGCTCGGAGAGCATATGTGGTCAACCCCATCAAGAGGTTGACCCATCACGTTCAGAGCTCGGAGAGCATAGTGGTCAACCCCATCAAGAGGTTGACCCATCACGTTCAGAGCTCGGAGAGCATAGTGGTCAACCCCATCAAGAGGTTGACCCATCACGTTCAGAGCTCGGAGAGCATATGTGGTCAACCCCATCAAGAGGTTGACCCATCACGTTCAGAGCTCGGAGAGCATATGTGGTCAACCCCATCAAGAGGTTGACCCATCACGTTCAGAGCTCGGAGAGCATATGTGGTCAACCCCATCAAGAGGTTGACCCATCACGTTCAGAGCTCGGAGAGCATATGTGGTCAACCCCATCAAGAGGTTGACCCATCACGTTCAGAGCTCGGAGAGAGCATATGTGGTCAACCCCATCAAGAGGTTGACCCATCACGTTCAGAGCTCGGAGAGAGCATATGTGGTCAATCCCATCAAGAGGTTGACCCATCACGTTCAGAGCTCGGAGAGAGCATATGTGGTCAACCCCATCAAGAACGTTCAGAGCTCGGAGAGAGCATATGTGGTCAACCCCATCAAGAGGTTGACCCATCACGTTCAGAGCTCGGAGAGAGCATATGTGGTCAACCCCATCAAGAGGTTGACCCAACCCCCCCCTCAAGAGGTTGACCCAACCCCCCCCTCAAGAGGTTGACCCAACCCCCACAACTCCCATTGTTCCTTCCCTTGTCTTGTGCATCTTGAGTCACTCAACAGATTGACGAAGATCAAGCCACCCAAAAGGTGGGACAAGTAGCCCGTAAACTCACCATTTGATTGATTGATGAAGATTAAGCCACCCAAAAGGTGAGACGAGTAGCCCGTAAACTCACCATTTGATTGATTGATGAAGATTAAGCCACCCAAACGGTGGGACAAGTAGCCCGTAAACTCACCATTTGATTGATTGACGAAGATCAAGCCACCCAAAAGGTGGGACAAGTAGCCCGTAAACTCACCATTTGATTGATTGATGAAGATTAAGCCACCCAAAAGGTGGGACAAGTAGCCCGTAAACTCACCATTTCATTGATTGATAAAGATTAAACCACCCAAGAGGTGGCACGGGCATGAATAGCCCCGTAAGTAAACTCACCCGTCTGCTCCCACACTTATAAGGTGGGTGTGTCTCCTCGCGCTCCTCACTGGCCGATCGTCTCCCGCTGGGCGATGACGGGGCTGTGGCCGCACTGTTGAAACACACCTGAACGACCAAGAGAAACTTGTTAGGACCACAAACACACACTAATCAACGGTACATACAAGACAACCCGTTCTCGCACTTTCTTATAGTCAATATTGACTTATTAAATAAGTGCATATGTGACATACAAATTTATTGAGAATATTTTAGTTTACCTTGAAAAGCTTCATCGAAAACACCGACCTTACCTAACCTTCTTAGTATGTTAAGATAAGCATCTTATTGCTTCGTAATTACAATTATTACTTAACCTATAAGAGCAACGAGAACAAAAAAAACATGTCGCAGTGCACAGAAAAGTTTCTGAAGGGCCAGGAACAAATACCTTAGATGGAAAAGAGAGGTGGAGAGGTATTTCAAAATTGAGGAAGTAACTACAGGAAAGACTACTGAAGAGCCACGTAAATAAGGGACAGAACAGCGATGAGAAGGAAGTTATTGCAGGAAGTTCTTTCATGTTTAGTGCTGAAGTTCATGAACATGAGTGTTCATCTCTGTTCTCCCATTTGTTCATGCCCTGGCAGAAGGAAAGTGTCTGCGGTCTTCCACCGGCGGGAACAGATGGGCAGAGTTTCTTTCACCCTTATGCCCCCTGTTACCTAGTAGTAAATAGGTACCTGGGAGTTAGACAGCTGTTATGGACTGCTTTCTGGATGTGTGTGTGTGGGGGGGGGGAGGAATAGTAGTTAGTAACAGTTGATTGACAGTTGAGAGGCGGGCCGAAAGAGCAGAGCTCAACCCCCGCAAGCACAACTAGGTGAATACGCCTAGGTGAATACACAGACACACACACACACGCGTACGCGCGAGATCTACGCGGGCCGGAAATAGCAAGGCAGTTGGGCCAGAGTGAGATGGTCACGCACGAACAGACGACGCCTCGTCCGTGGACCAGACAAGACCCTGACGATGTACGTGAACACGGACCCCAGCGCCAGTCCCACTGCTGCAGGGGCAATGTTTATAGTTTGGTTCTCTAGAGTTAGACAATTTTGTCTAACTGTCTAACTTCTGTCTAACTGTCTGTCTAACTTCTAACTGTCTAACTTCTGTCTTTTGAGTTTGATTGTCTAGAGTATTGCTGTTGCTGCTTCTGTTACTGTTATTGTTGTTGTTGCTGTTGCTCCTGTTGTGGTTGGTGCTACTGTTGTTGCTACTGCTGCTACTGTTCTTGTTCCTGTTTGTGCTACTAACAGGAAAGGTGTCTGAAGACTAACTGTAACTTAGTATTGAGTACAGATATTAAAATAGAAATACTTTACATTAAATACTCATACACTCCCAGACCAAACTTGGCCACCACCTGGACGCTAACCCTCGTTCACACAATCTAGTATAATCACTCCACATAACATTCTATATGTCTCTCTAACTCAAAATTGATTTAAGTCACCCCAGGATTAATCAGTCATAACACACCCCCCCATGACTTGAGGACTCGACTTGAGAATGATCACAATCGACTTGAGAATGGTCCAGGACGGACCGAAACGTCGTCGTCCCTTCATCTTCTAGTGTGTGGTCTGGTCAACAGGAGTTCTCGATTTCCACCGTCTAGAAAGCTGGCCCACCTTTCCTCTGGGGGAGGTTAGTTTCCGTGCGTCCTGTCCTTCCAAGAGGATTCTCACCGACTCAAGGAGTCCAGTCCAGACTCCCAACTCGGGGGTCCTGGCTAGGGTTCTTGGACACCTGGTTAAATCTGTCTCGCGATGTTCTCAAAACCTGGCAACTCTCGATTTCTCAGACTGTCTGTCGATTCTTCAGGCTGTCTGTCGATTTCTCAGGCTGTCTGTAGATTTCTCAGGCTGTCTGTCGATTTCTCAGGCTGTCTGTCGATTTCTCAGGCTGTCTGTCGATTTCTCAGGCTGTCTGTCGATTTCTCAGGCTGTCTGTCGATTTCTCAGGCTGTCTGTCGATTTCTCAGGCTGTCTGTCGATTTCTCAGACTGTCTGTCGATTCCTGCCTTGGCTCCACCCAGAATTGCTGTATTCCTTACACCCAGACAACACTGAAATTTCATTGTTTCCACAGATGTCATGCCTGACCTTGCCCGAAGGTCGTGACCTGACCCCGGTCAATAAACAACCATGTAGGTGCCCGTCTTGCACCCCAGAGACTTGATCTTCCTTAATTGTCTTGAGACAATGCATGCTTCCTCCGCCCCACACACACGTATCACAACACCTTAATGGTCATTCACTCTACTCATGTTGCAAAGATTTTACGAAATTCTCTAGCTGCTTTGTTTATGTTTTACGTCACAACAGTTGTGGTGTCTGTTGCTGCTGCTGTTGCTCTTGTTTTTGCTGCTTCTGGTGTTGTTTTTGCTGTTACTGTTTCTTCTGTTGTTGTTGATGTTATTGCTGTTGTAGTTGCTGCTGTTGCTGTTCTTCATGCTGTTGTTGTTGTTGCTGATGATGTTAATGCTTTTGCTGGGTGCCTGGTTGATGGGTTTCTGGGGGTTCTTCTACTCTCCAGGCCCGGCCCGAGGCCAGGCTTGACTTGTGATAGTTTGGTCCACTAGACTGTTGCTTGGAGCGGCCCGCAGGCCGACATACCCACCACAGCTTGGTTGGTCCAACAGGCTGTTGCAAGGTACCAGCAAGGTACAACTTGCTGGAATATGTGGGCCCGCAGGCCCACATATTCCTACTCCTCCACAGCCCGGTTGGTCAGGCACTTCTTGAAGAAAACGATCTAGTTTTCACTTGAAGATGTCCACGGTTGTTCCGGCAACATTTCTTGTACTCGCTGGTAGGACGTTGAACAACCGCGGACCTCTGATGTTTATACAGTGTTCTCTGATTGTGCCTATGGCACCTCTGCTCTTCACTGGTTCTATTCTGCATTTTCTTCCATATCGTTCACTCCAGTATGTTCTTATTTTACTGTGTAGATTAGGTACCTGACCCTCCAGTATTTTCCTTGTGTATATTATTTGATATCTCGTCTCCTTTCTAGTAAGTACATTTGGAGAGCTTTGAGACGATCTCAATAATTTAGGTGCTTTCTCGCGTCTAAGTATGCCGTATATGTTCTCTGTATTCACTCCGTTTCAGCAATCTCTCCCGCTTTGAAGGGGGAAGTGAGTACTGAGCAGTACTCGAGACGGGACAACACAAGTGATTTGTATAGTACAACCATTGTGATGGGATCCCTGCATTTGAAAGTTCTCGTAATCCATCCTATCATTTTTCTGGCTGACGCAATATTTGCTTGGTTATGCTCCCTAAACGTTAGGTCATCAGACATTATTATTCCCATATCCTTTACATGCTGTTTTTCTACTATGGGCAAATTTGACTGTCTTGTACCCTGTATTATGTTTAGGGTTCTCATTTTTACCGTACCTGAGTACCTGGAATTTATCACTGTTAAATATCATGTTATTTTCTGGTGCCCAATCAAAAACTTCTTTAATGTGTGTGGTAGTGGTGGGTGTGGTAGTGTGGTGGGTGTGGCAACCACACTGCCACCATTTCTACCATCACCACCCCTGCCTCTACCACCACTACAGCTACCACCATCGCTTCTGCCACCACTACCATTCCCACCACAACTACAACCCCCCACCAAATGTTAAACTCTAGACGAGAGATCAAACAGAGGAGAGATGATCGCAACATACAAGGTTACAAGGAGGGAAAAAGTAAAAGTAGGCAAGGACAAACTCTTTAAATTGAGAATAATACAAAATAACAGAGAAACGGAAATGAGTCGAAGAAATACAAGGAAATACTCGTACCCTGTAGACGTGGTGGAATGCCCTGAAGGAAGAAGAAGTTGTAGAAGCCTACTCCAACCAAAACTTTAAGGCTGCAGTTGCCAGGTGGAATTCAAACATCAGAAAATATAAATTATATCACCACAGGTATAATTAGGCTAGCAGGCCGGGCCTGAAGAGCCAGACCTCAGTCACTGTTAGGCAAGAAACATATAAAACCCCCCATACTCCCCCCTCACCCTTAAATACCCCCACACACCCCCCCCCAATGCCACCCCAACCACCGCCATACCCCCTACAATCTATGCATCAAGTCCATTTGCCATACAGTGGTCCCCGAGGGCAGGATGCTTTCTCCTGTGTCATGCTGCCTCCATTACCTACCTGCCACCCAGCACTCTCACTCTCCCTACACTCTCACTCTCACTCTCCCTATATCCTCGCTCTCCCTACACTCTCACTCTCACTCTCCCTATATCCTCGCTCTCCCTACACTCTCACTCTCACTCTCCCTATATCCTTGCTCTCCCTACACTCTCACTCTCACTCTCCCTATATCCTCGCTCTCCCTACACTCTCACTCTCCCTATATCCTCGCTCTCCCTACACTCTCACTCTCACTCTCCCTATATCCTCGCTCTCCCTACACTCTCACTCTCACTCTCCCTATATCCTCGCTCTCCCTACACTCTCACTCTCACTCTCCCTATATCCTCGCTCTCCCTACACTCTCACTCTCACTCTCCCTATATCCTCGCTCTCCCTACACTCTCACTCTCACTCTCCCTATATCCTCGCTCTCCCTACACTCTCACTCTCACTCTCCCTATATCCTCGCTCTCCCTACACTCTCACTCTCCCTATATCCTCGCTCTCCCTACACTCTCACTCAGCACTCTCGTACACTACCCTAATTTCGAATTGGTCTGGGTTCGAGTCCTATACAGGGAGGATTGACTAAGTCTTTATTTGGAGATATTAATTTTAACCGTTCGCCCCTATTTACCCAACAGTAATTGGGTATCTGGTTGTAAAGGAATTGGTGGATCGTGCTCCAGGAAAAAACTAAGAGGGTAAGGCTTGCCTATGGGGAGGGATAACTCTCCGTGTGCCAATAAAAGTGAAAAGTCGTCTGCTTCTGTACCCCCATGAGTCAAGAGGAAATAAAAGGTGCAGTTTTGCTGACACAATGTTGGATTTTCCGAGCCCAGAATTGTTATTCTTAAGATAAATTATACATTTTTCAAGTAGTGCTTGAGACGTGAACCTTTAGACG